TGAAGGTTATAAGGACCCAGATGTGGGTTGATTTAATACAGGCAGGAGTAGATGGAAGGAAATTAGATGGGAAGTCAAATAGGATCTTATTAGAGCTATGGCAACAACTGAAACCAGAGCAGCAGTTCCAGCCATTAAGACCAAAGAGGCAGAGATCAGAGACAGAGCCACGAGTCCGGCCTGTGTGTTTGCAAGACTTCCTGCTCGAGAGTGAGCCAACCTCACTCGAGCCCACAGAGGAAGATGATTGGGGAACATGGTTTGACTGAAGGGAATGTCGAGGTATCTGCTCTGAGGAAACAGGGGGGGACCGGAGGCCACATGTTGAAATAGCTATCCATTGGTCCCTGGTGAACATACAATGTGTCCTGGCTCTGGTGGACACAGGGCTGAATGTTCACTGATTCATGTTAACCCTGAGCGGTTCCCCAGGACCCCCATCATAGATGGATATGAGGGGAAGGCTATCAGAGTGAATCAAGCCCATATCCCTTTGGGAAGAGGGTGTCTACCCCCAAAAGAGTACACTGTGTATATGTCTCCTATTCCTGAGTATATTTTGAGGATAGATATCCTGCAGAGTCTATGGTTGCAGACCACTGCAGGTGAGTTCAGACTGAGAGTACGTGTGGTGAAGGCAGTTCTGAGGGGACATGCTAGGCACCCACCCATTGCTTTGCCTGTGCCTCAGTGGGTGACTAATACCAAACAATACAAACTGCCTGGAGGGCATAAAGAGATTGGAGAAACTCTCCAGGAGTGGGAAAAGGTGGGTATTATAAAGCCCACCCATAGTCCTTTCAATTCCCCAGTGTGGCCAGTAAAAAAGCCAGATGGTTCCTGGTGTATGACTGTGGATTACGGAGAACTGAATAAAGTCATACCCCCTATGCATGCTGCTGTCCCCTCTATTGCAGGCCTGATGGATACCCTCAGCCATGAACTAGGAACATACCATTATCTGGTAGATCTTGCTAATGCCTTCTTTTCTATTGACATTGAGCAGGAAAGTGAGGAACAGTTTGCCTTCATGTGGGAAGGATGGCAGTGGACTTTCACTGCCCTTCCACAGGGATACTTCCACAGCCCCACTTTCTGTCATGGACTTGTTGCCCAGGACTTGGGTACATGGAGGAATCCGCCAAAGGTGCAGCTATATCATTATATTGATGATGTCATGCTCATGTCCGATTCTCTTTCAGATCTAGAAGGTGTAGCACCTAGACTGCTGCAACATTTACAGGAGAAAGGATGGGCTGTGAACAACAGTACTGATGTTCAGGGATCTGGTTTGTCTGTCAAATTCTTGGGGGTTGTCTGGTCAGGTAAGACCAAAGTTATATGAGAAGTAGTTATAATTCAAGTCCAGGCCTTTCCTATCCCTACAACTATAGCATTGTTACAGGAGTTTTTGGGTCATCTAGGCTACTGGAGAGTGTTTATCCCCTACTTGGCACAAATTCTGAAGCCCTTATACTGGTTGGTATGAAAGGGCGTCAGGTGGGACTGGGATGAGACATGTGCATCTGCCTTACTAGAGCAAAACGGGCAGTCAAGGCCATGCAGGCCTTGAGTGTGATAGACCCATCACGGCCCTGAGAGCTGGACGTTCATGTGACTGAAGACGGTTATGGCTGAGGTCTCTGGCAGCGGCTTGAACGAACTTGCCAACCTATTGGCTTCTGGTCACAACTCTGGAAGGGGGCAGAGGTACGATACACTTTGATAGAAAAACAACTGGCTGCCATGTATCACACCTTGCTGGCTACAGAACCCATCACTGGAATGGCCCCAATAAAGGTAATAACCATCTATCCCATCTTGGGGTGGGTATGAGACTGGACCCAAAGCCAAGGAGTGGTGTGGCACAAACACCCACAGTGCCCAAGTGGGGTGCTTACCTACAGCAGCATAGTGTCCTCTCTAGTAGCCCCTTGAGTGAAGAACTCCAATGCTTATTGGGGCCAGTGACATATACTAGTGAAAAGCAGGAAGAACTTGCTTTTGAACAATTAGTAGCAGAGTCCCTGTCGGGAGGGAAGAGCACCTATACCCGAAGATGCATGGTACATAGATGGCTCCAGCCGTGGGCAGCCCTCAAAATGGAGGGCCATAGCTTTCCATCCTAAGACTGAGACAATATGGATGGAAGATGGTGAGGGGAAGGGCAGCCAATGGGCAGAGTTGTGGGCTGTGTGGCTTGTGATCAGTCAGGAGCCCTTCCCTATAGTTGTCTGCACTGACAGCAGGGCTGTCTAATGGGGCTTGACCCTGTGGCTACCAACCTGGTACCATGCGAACTGGCTAGTTGGTCACCAACCCCTTTGGGGGCAAGAATTGTGGCAAGTCTTATGGGCCTGTGGTCAGACTGAAATAATTACTGGATACCATGTGACAGGTCATTTGCCACTGGCATCCCCAGGAAATGATGAAGCAGATAAACTGGCCCAGATATGTTGGTTAGAAGGAAAGCCTGCCTCTGATGTAGCCCAATGGTTACATTAGTGTTTGTTGCATGTGGGGCAAAAGACAATGTGGGCTGTAGCCTGTCAGTGGAGCTTGCTTTTGACATTTGAAGAAGTTAGTAGAGCCTGGCAGGAGTGTGTCATACGCTCCAAAAAGGACTTACACCGAGTTCCACAGCAACATGGGACAATAGCTAAGGGGCCTGTACCCCTCATCAGGTGGCAGATAGACTATATTGGGCTTCTGCCTGTGTCAGAAGGATATCGGTATGCAATGACTTGTGTGGACACAGTTACTGGACTTCTGGTTGCTTTTCCTAACCGTTGTGCAGACCAGCAGATGACCAGAAGAGGCCTGGAGCATCTCTTTGCAGCTTATGGCCGACCACAGGTAATTGAGAGTGATCAGGGCACCCATTTTACTGGACATGCACTGCAAGAATGGGTGCGACAGCTCGGAATCAAATGGAAGTTTCATGTTACATACAATCCTATCACAGTAGGCATGATAGAGAGGCACAATGGCTTGTTAAAATCTGGACTAAAGTCAGATACCAATAGTCTGGAGGGATGGTCAGTCCACTTATGGACTGTGCTATGGTGTTTGAACAAGAGACCCCAAAAGGGAGCTCTGAGCCCCATAGACATGTTAACATGTATGGCTGCCTCCCCTGTACAACTACAAGTACAAACCAAGGAAGAATCACTGAAGCCAAGGTTCGGCCAACAGAATAATATCTTGCTGCCAACTGAACCCTGGAGACTCCATTGAGTGGACGTGGCCTTGAACCTTACAACACATGGACCAATGATGGTTGGCTCTCCTGGCACCTTGGGGATAAGGCCTGGAAGCTGGCTCCTGTGTATTCCTAGAATAAGGGCAGAGTGGCCCCCAAAGATCACAGCAGTATATCCTGAACGGCCAGAAGGTAGGAGCATCTTACCGGGGAGTTTTGTTTTATCATTATGGCCAGTGTATGCATCTCCAGTAGCACTATATATAGATCCTTCAGTAACCCCCACGGGGAAAGGAGTAAAAGTATGGTATACTAGATCTGGAAGGGACCCCTTCCTGCTACAGTCCTATCACAGGACCACTCTCTTACATGCATCCTACCTGATGGGCAAGATTTGCCTATGTTGATGTCATTAAAACATGTCTTATCGCCCCCTAAGGTATTGGTGGATTGTGTACTTCCTCTGGCTTGAGGATTATTATAATTTTTGTTAGTAGGAACCTCCTCTGGCTTGAGGATTACTAGAATTTTTGTTACCTGTATCAAAATCTTGTTGTATCTTAATTCTTGTTATTATCTCTAAGTTGTTTTTATCCTCTGTGGCTGTTGTGGAATCTGGTTGCAGTGCTCCAGCTTTCTCGCACAGGGACCATTGCAGAAGATTGAGAGCATGTAGATTGTAAGGCGAGAATCCTGGAGGGGTGGAGTGTGGGGAAGCTGGGGTTCCTATGGCCAGGATCCTCACTGAACTTAAACCACCTGATGATGAAACTGGCCTGTTGCTAGGCTACTGCTTCCACACCTTTAGGCAATAAGCTATTATTGCACTGTATAGAGAGCTTGGCCCAGTGCTCTGGGCAGAGGCAGAGACGCTAGTGCTCGACCTATTGCCAGGAGAACAAGCCGGGTAATAAACCCTTTCGCCCCAAAGAACATTTTGCTGTCAATTTCTTTGGTCACATTGAATCCACTGGGAACTTGCCCCAGGTTGAAATCCATTGGCAAGACAGTAGCCCAAGCAAAATTCCTTCAGTGTTATAGTTCCTCCTGTACCAGGCCAGACAACTGGCAAAGGAATTGGAATAGGGATATGCCCTGCCTGTGTTGTATAAGCACATCATATTGTAGGTGAAAAACAGCAAACAGGGAATTCATTATTTTTAAGAGTTTCTTTGTGCACATGACCAGCTTCTGCATGCAGTTGGAGAAACAACCCTATTAAAATGCTTTTTAAGAAGTCCAAGCTCAATAACAAAGTATGAAAACTTTGAGGAATGGGGGGGAATCTATGAGGAAAACCTCAAGCTTGCTTATCCAGGGAATGAGCAGAACTTAATTATTCCAACATGGGGCTGCTGGGAACCGACCTCCCTTCACTCTGGGTAAAAAACAAATCCCCAAGTTGCTACTGAGCCAAACTTTAAAGGCCAGTCAGGAAGTGAACAGCACTCCCAAATGGGAAAGCCTGGATCCACAGTGTTTTTTTCTAAAGTAAACAAAAGATTTGCAAAAGTATTTCCTTGCACTGTTTGGCAAGAGAAAGAAGCACCTGGAGAGTGAGTTAGGAAGAGAAAGCATATAAGAAATGTGAGTAAAACAAGGATGGTTATAATGAAGATTTGTCGCACTAATCTCTGTAGCCCAAGAGTTCTATCAGGAAACAAGGCTACAAATGGAGAGACACTCAGAAAAAAGACTGATTAAGACTTTTAATGAAAGGATAAATAGAATAAATACTTTCCTGGGTCCTGAATTTCATCTTTCATTTAGATTTTTAAAAACCTTTAAAAATATCTTCTGATGAGTCAAAGTGGAATATATACATTAAAATAAATGAGGGCTGTGAAGGCAGAAGTATGAGCAATGAGAAAAGCAATTATCCTTAGAGACAGAAATTTCCTTGCTTCAATGCTGCATGTGACACTGGCAATTTCAAGTCATTCTGTTTCAGGTGATTTTCAGTGTGAGTGCCAAATACTGCTTGAGGGGACAATGTCTCAGCTCACCTGAGGGAATGCGGCATAAGTAAACATGGGGAGAGTTATCATATTCTTGAAGCCAAACATTTTGTTCAGCAGGACAGCCTCAGGAGAAAGACAAGTTACTCTTGGGAGGCAGGTTGAGAGAAATGAGGCAGCAATTGCCTAGTGTTGCATGTATTAAGTACATAGTACTAAAAAAACCCCAAAACCCCTAACGCAAATGACTCAATAGCATCTCATTATTCATTTTAGGAAGCCACACTGTTTTAGCACTTTTCCCCAATGATAAAGGCTTAAAGACTTGATAGGTGATTGCTGTTCTTCAATGGTTTTTGAAACAACCAATAATTGATAGAGATCAACTGAGAAAAAAATTAATTTCTGCTTTTTCTGCAATGAACTAGGAAGTATCTCATAAAGAGATAATGGACTGAAAAACACTACCAAAGAATTTATATAAGTAGACAAAATGAATATTTGTTCTGGATCAAACCCCATCAGCCCAAGTAGGAGAGGTGATGTTTGGAAATTTTTAGGAGGCAATCAATGGCTCACTTAATTTGGCAGGTAAATCTGATAAAAAAGCTGCTTTTTTTCCCTGGGGCCCAGGCTCTACTTAATGCCTATCTGCTGGAGAAAATCAAAGATAAAAACACAAATCACTGGGATGCCAAGGACACAGCTAACTGGACGTTATTTGTGACTATTTGAAGTCCACATGCTCCTAATGTATTGATTTTTCTTCTCCATATGGTAACGTTAACGTGTATTTCTTCATTCCCTTGCCTCTAGCTGTTCCTTGCTAAAAGTTAAGTGGTTGTGAAACCACATGCCCTGTAGAATCCAAACCAGCTCTCTAAACTCTTGGACAAGTAGTGGTGCCCTGTAGCTTGCCTTCAATGAGCTCCAGGGGCAGCTGAGGGTGGCCTGTCTTTGACCACCTGGAAGTTTTAATATGCTCCATCCATCTCATGCCAACCTGGTTTGCCAGAGTTGGGGTCCCTGTGCTCTGAGGCTCCTGGAGTGAGGAGGTGCTCAAAGAAGCTGAGCCTCTCCCACAGCTGCACTTGCCTTTTCATTTTGCCATTTTTCTTACCCTCTGTAGACACTCAGGCACAGAACTATTATCACTTGCTTGTTACTGCATGTTGCTGATTCATACTCAGAGGAAAAAGTAATTTTGTCTTCAACACCTCTTCTGTCATTTAAGGCATATGTTAATGAAAGATTTTGGCATCCACTCTTCTCTGTAGTTTTGAGGCTACAATATAGATTGATCATAAATGAAGATGCAACTGTTATTTTACTTCTATTTACATTTGTAACACCAAAACCATCTTGTAGGTATCTTTGTGTCTCTCAAATTCCAAACCATATACGAAGAAATGCTCAACATTTTACACTTGAATTGGCATTAATGTGTCATTAATGTACATACAATATTTTAAGTAAAGATGTTTGCATTCCTATTTTATTACTGACACTCCCTGAATTCATGTATTTTAGATCATGCTACAGCCAAATCCCTATGAAGACATTTTATGGGCTTTTTTCTCCTTTGCAGTACAGACTGGTTTTTTTTTCTTTACTTGAGGAGTGTGCAAGTGATGGATGCTCTGCTTGCTGGGAGGGGAGCCAAGTGGAAGGCTGCAGCCTGGGGGTGGGGTGAGAGCAGAAGGGAACATATGCAGAATGCTGAAAAGAACTGATTGAAAGCTTTTGCTTTGTCATTCCTCTGCGTTCTTTTCCTTCTCTTCCTTCCCAGTTTGTAACTGTGGACAAGTACAACCCACTTATTTCATGGAATCACTGGATCTAGAATGAGTTGTCACCTTGAAGATCTCTGATCCAAACTCCCACCCACTGCTATAATTCTCTGCTTGATTCACGAGCTCTTTTTCTTCTCCAGCTGCTTTCCAGGCAGCACTTGTGTCTATTAATTAAACAGGCTCCAATGACAGTAGAGGTTTTGGAATCAGACAGATCTGGGTCCAAAGTGTGGTTCTGCCACTGACTAGTGGTGATATCTTGGGCAAGTCACCCAATACCATAGAGCTCCAGTCTCATCTGTTCAATGGTTATAATAAAAACTACTTCACAGGAGTTTGAGGATTAAATGAAGGAATAACAGTATATAAAGTACAGTACATAAAAGACTTAGCACTCAGAGACACTTTAAGAGTAGTTCAGCAGTTCAGTAGGAACTAGGGTCCATGCTTCCTGTCTGATTCAGGCAATCTTTTCCATAGCATCTTACTGTCTTTCTCACAAGGTTTCATAAAACCATTGAAAACGGTTGTCGCTGGAATATTCTGTATGCTGCCTTCTAGACTGTAAATGCTGTTATTAATAACAATATCTCACACATACTTAGCGCTTCAGAACTTACAATGCAGTTTTGCAAGTGGGGGGAAAATACCCATACCAACATATCCTCTACTGATGACTAAGAGGCAGAAGCAGAAGGAGCAGAGGCTCTGAAAGAGGTCTATTAGTGATGCAAATGTGAAGTTATCTGTACTTGTGAGGAGCATAATAAACATTAAAAGCAATTAGAAGTAACAAGGTGTCATATCTTCAGGCTCAGGAATTTGGCTTTGATGAGTTGAAACCACAGGAATAAGGGCATAGGAGTTTGCAGGCAAGAACTGAAGTTACCTTAAGTTTAATAGTCGATGGTTTGGGTGCCCAGGAGAACAGCTCTCTGCGTATAGGTGAATTTTGATGTATAAACTAGAGTATAGCAATCATGTAGAAACCTCGATGGGTTCAAAATTTAGAGATAAAGCATATGGAACTGAGACAAGTAAAGCAGAAAAGGTTTCAGAAGCCGCCATTAACTGGGAGTTTCATAAGACAAATGTGTCATAATGCATGCAAAACTTTTAATAATAGAAACTGTTACCTTTTCTTTCTCACAAACTTCTGAAACAGTTCTTCATGTGTGTGAGAAATTTTACGTTTGGAAAATGCTCAAAAGTGAATTTTTAGAAATGGAGAAAAATGGAGGTACATTTTAATATAGCATATTTAACTGTTTTGTAAGATGAAGGAACATCTTTTTCTCTCAGAAAGAAAACAGTCTTTTTGAAATTCAGTTCCCTTAGAAGATGAATTTTTAAATATCAAACACTGCCCAACTAACTGGTCCTTGCTTTATGGATATGGGGGTAAAATAAGAATTTCATGTAGTTATCAAGTATCTTAAACTGACACCCAAACAGATACATTTGCAGCACTTCATGATTTCTTAATCTCTTTAGGCAATATTCCAGATCAGGTCTTTCTCCTTTTTTCTCCTCTGCTGAAAATCTACATTTTTGTCCAGCAGCAAATTCTAAGTAGGGGTTTATTCAGGTATTCCAAGGGAGAGAGACACTGACCAGACAAGCAGAAGACAGTGGTGGAAATGGCCGTATGAGCAGTTCTATGGAATTGGAGGTCTATGCTAGACAGAGCCCAAAGGAGCCCAGTTTATGTCTCTCAGTCCAAATTTGGTTCATGTATTTTTGAAGTTTCTAAAGGTTAACTACATGCTGTAATACATTACAGAAGATACGAAGTTGAATTTTACTGTGCCAGTCAAGAGGCTGGCTTGAATCTGCTCTTTAGGACTGAGAGAAACAGTACAATTTACATGTGTGAGAAAGTGAGAATAATTTTACCTTCTGTTGTTTTTAAAACCACCTTGGGCCATGATTTTTAAATTGAGACACAAGATCTGCTGGGGTTCCCATAGAAACATTAACTTATCTATAACTGCCCTCATTTTATGTAGCACTTTTATTACTAATTTGGCTTTTTACATGTACATTTTTATTATGAAATACAACTGAGTTAAGAGTTTCAGGCAAATTTTAACTTCTGCATTTACCAACTGATGTATGTTTAAACAGAAATCTTGATATTGTCCTTCTGAGGACTTAGTGCCAAGGCAAGTATGTGCAAAACACTTTTACGTGGTCTCCCTTGCCCTGGACCTCTGATCTCGCTGCAGTCTGTTCTATAGGTAACTCCTCAATTCATCTCTCTAAATACATTTATAACATGCCATGGATAGGATAAAACAGAAACAAAAAAACCAGCCAACCTCTGAAGGCTCTAGTCCAAAGACTAGAACCCAGTGCACACCCTCTGTTCAAGGCTGTCTATAAACTGATCCCCTCCCTAGCTTTTCTTCACTATTTCTCATCATGAATGTCCCACACCAAACACACCTGTCATCTTACTATCTTCTGAAAGCATATGTTCAAGGACTGGTCTGAAACCTGCCTCTTCCCAGAACCCTGGTTCGTGCCCCACTTCTTCCCGCAGCTGATCTTTTTCTTTTTCAGAGCCGCTATTGCCCTGCTGCCTCCTTCTGACACACTGTTTATGACCAGGCAGCACCCCTCCCCCCCTGTTTGTTTTTAAACAATGTCTTCATTTTCCTTTGAGGAATTTCCCTCCATTCTACCCATTCTGGTGGTGCCATAAATGAGCTTCCTTGCCCCGGCCTGCTGAGGGACTCGTGAGCCAAACCGCACTGATCACATTCTTCTAGGAAACTGGATTTTAAGTGAATTCAAAAAGGAAAACCAGTGGGAAATGAATTATTCCATGACGCTTTGTTCAAGAGATTTCTGTGGCTCATAATCCAAGTCTGCTAGCTGATAAACTCCCTATTTGAGTACTTGTTCATATATTATCTTAGGTCGTGATTTAGATTTATCTAGGAATGTGCATGTTTTGCTTCACCAGCTAGACACTATTTATGCTCTCTATAGAGAGGACTTGTCTTTATATATAGTAGTAGTTCATATAAGTCAGCACAATGTAAGTACTCAGTAAATGTTGTATAATGAATGAAAGACCAATCTTAGAAACTCCATTTTACAAAGGCGACTTGCAAATCAATTTATATCCTTTTTGAGGCAAAGTGGTAAGTAAATTTTTAGTCACTACAATTTAAGAATTTTCTTGGATATAACAGTTGTTGTAAAGAGAGCTTATAACAACTTGTACACCTAAGAATAGCCTGAAATAAATGTTAGCATGGGTCATACTTCCCCAATTTTAGGAAAGAAACTAGAAACTAAAATTCTATTTCAGACATTAGTCTCTGAATTGAAAAAAAAAAGTTTTTGGGGAAACAAACAAAACAAAGAAAACAATACCCGTTTGTCTTGGTCTTGTGGCTTTACCTGGAAACAAGGCAAGCTGCCTCTCTGCTATCAGATAACAATGGAGGAGAGGTCAACTAATGTATAAAGATGATTTTTTTCCACTTCTAATAAATGGCAGGTGATGGTTTCTCAGAATAATCTGACTTATATCAGTAATGTAATTGAATGCTTAAAAAATTCAAAGAATAATCAAGATAACGGTTGGACATAGTAAACCCAAATAAGTTGAGCAATATTGAGTTTTGAAAACACAGAATATGATGCTCTCTTCCAAATCACTTACATGTGCTTAAAATGCAAAAAAAAAAAAACTCACCCTTGATAAACAGCAGGATATACAAATTCTCTTCTTCTGATTGTTTTTTTAAAAATGTAAGATTTATGGAAGTCTTTGAATAGTGTAATCCTCTAGTTTGTACCTTAATATGGTACATAGTTCAGCCATGAGAAAGGGGTAAAAATACCAATTTGGAGCTTTTCTGAGTCAAGTGCAATGGTTTCTGGAATTTGCCTTGAACCCACACTCGGTGCATTTTCACTTGTCTTTTCCTATTAACTTGTAAGCGATGATCAACCAGATTTTGCTTCTCATCTAACCCAGCCTTGCAGAACATATTGTGGACTTCCCCTGTGAGATAAAAATTGCAATCAAATATACGTGGCTGTAGAGGGAAAGGGGACACGTCAGGAATAATGATGGAATGACTGGCCTTCTAAATTTCATTTATATCAAGAAATATTCTCTGGTACAAATTGGCAAAGGAAACTTGTGAAATTAAGTGGGTTTCTTCTACTTCATACAAATACACCAAGTATAAACAGTTTAATACAACAAGTATAAATAGATATATAGCTCTACTGGTTGCCGCTTTCAATATTTTGAAAGATGCCCCCTGTCTTTTCATTGGTTTTCAGAGACTCCAAATGATATATTACAAAAGTATTTGCACATGTTTGGGGAAAATTTTTGAATTCATTTTAAATGCTTTTTAAAAATGAGAAATTGACAAGACATAAGTAATTTTCTATGGACTCTTAAAATCAAATCCCCTCCTTTGGCTGTGGCATGTCATCAATTTTTTCCTATCTGGGCTAACAGTACTCCAAAATGGAACAGACTACACCTTCATTTCTGTATGAGGATGAAACAAGTGATTAATCTTTAAAGTAGTTTTAACAGGAAAAATATTAAAGGCAAAAAGGCCATTTCCAAGCTTCTATGTAGAACAGTTAGTCACCAAAGTGTGAAGAAATCTAATGTTTAATCAACTATGAAAGCCTCATTTTTAGGGCTTTGGAGTTTCTCCCTGTAAACAACAACCAAAGAAAGTTTTAAGATCTAATTGTTTACTTTTATAGATAAGCATACCTTTTGTAAAGAAATATACTCTGGTACCATCTCCTCGAACATAAAAATTTTCAGATAAACAATGCCCTAAAAAAAAAGTATTTATATGAGAAACTTAATATTCCTTAAAAAAAAAAATGAACAAATTTGACCTGAATATAAACAAGGCAGTCTTCCAAACACACGAGAATAATTCCAAATTGAATATACTATTACCCCTTTTAAAACGAAGCTGAGTCTCATCGTGTCTTCCATAGTCCCGAAATAACAGCATTCCCCCAGGCTTCAGTAACTTGGACAATCGGTTTAAAACACCTTGCATCCTTTGGAAACAAAGCAAGATACTCTGCAGAAATTTTGTCTTATATGCCATATTTAACCTTTTTAAAGATAAACTAAGAATATCTCAACAAGTCCAAAGAAATATAAACTACAAAATAAGGGCAACAAAACCAAAAATGTTTTGAATAAAAAGAAAAAAGGACATTGACTTGCTAAATGATGAGATTCAAAAGACCTAGAATATCAATAAATCACCTAAAACACCAGAATGATAACTTTACAGAGCCTGATGTGTGATGTCAAAGATGAACTGTAAAACCGCGCAGATGTTTCCTAGTATTTATAGCAAGTAAAGGCACTTCTAAGGCAAATACTGAAGCTGCTTCATTTTCCTTGCAAGATAAAAAAATATGCCAGAATGGATCCAAATTATACATATCTGAACAGGGATCACCTCTTCTCCAAAACTAGCTCCTTTTCCTCCTTGTTTCTTTAGCTTAAAAGTACTATCATTCACCAAAGTAGAACACCTCCCAGGTATCATTTCTTTTTTATTTTTCTCTTTATCCACATGCTCTCCACAACCATTTGGTTATCAAATTCTATGTCTTCTGTTTTTGATGACATCTTTGATATTTCCTCTCTTTTGTTTTCCAGTGGCATCCCTTAGAACAAACTGCCACCTCCTCAGACTTAGAAATAGAACAGCTTCCTAACATGCTTTAGTATTCTCTGTTAATTCTTCCCGTATATTATTGATGAGCTATTTTGCTTTAAATGATGGTTTTGTCAAATCATCCTTTAGCTCAAAAAGGTCCCTGATTTTAATCTGTAGGATAAAATATTAATTTATTACTTGAGCCCTTAAGATCTCCTACAACTTGCCTCAATTAATCTTTCCAGCATCTTTCCTGCTACTTCCTAATCTGAAGCATCGACTCTGGCCAAACTATCACATGCTTGGCTCTGAGCAGTCTGTGCCTTTGCTCATGTGGTTTCCTGTCGAATAATTGTCTCCTCCTTCCTCTCTGCCTGTTTAAATGCTATTCACATTCCAAGCCCCAGCTCACTACTGGGAAGGCTTTATTTTCTTTCTTTTATTACTTATTCTACTCATCTGGCTCCCATTCAAATATGGCCCCTTGTGACTGCTCTTGATTTAATGTTTTTGGTTAAGTGTTTATGGTGGTATGTGGGATTATGGGCCAAAGATGGCAGATTTCAGATCTCATGTCAATGCCAAGTGACTGACACCTTCTACAGAGCTCTATTGAGAAGGCCAGGGCTCACTAGGAATGACAGAGCATAAAGTCAGTCATCAGCGTCTGCTCTGAGCAGAGAATGGGAGATGGCAGCCTGTGCGTGAAGTAATTGACATCTCGGCTTTATCCACACTACTAAAAGCTTCTGGGATTTTCTTATTTTAAAAATAGAGCATTTGGATCAGATAATCTGTAAATTCCAATTAAAACACTGTTCAGTGGAATAATGGGGTGAAGTCAGATTATGTCAGGTTGTGAAGGAAGTAGATGGAGAAAATGCAAGAAACTGAAAACAAGAGAGAACAGAAAGAGGTGGCATGATTACAGAAAAGCTCTTTTAGACAGCAGAGAACATAAGTACATGAAAGGGAGAAAAGACCTATTTTCCTTTGTTTATTTTATTACAGGTTATTTTCACACTGTGCCTATATTGTTAGGCAATTAAAGAAAATATTTAAACTTTAAAATATATACTTTGAAGATAAATGTTTTATGTACAGGGAAAGCCTCTTTCTGCAATTATTACTAAAACAAGCATAAAACAAAAATCCAGAAAAACAAGGTGCCAAGTAATTCAAATGTAGCAACTTCTTTCTGCACAGCCTTTCTTTCCAGCTACCCTGTGACGTCTAGGTTGTGGTAACAGCAGGGGTGGGGCTGCTTCCCTTACTCCTCGCTCCTTGACTCCCCAAGCAGTCCCAGAGCCTGTCCCTGGGAACCACAGGTGCGAGCGGGCTGGGGGCGAGGTGGACAGGACAAGGAGAGAAAGCCCCTTTCTTTTTTTTTCCAGTGTGGGCCATCTCTGCTATCCTTACCTATCTCTGGATGGGGAGAGAGGAAAAAGAAAAGAAGAGATTTTTGAAGAGGAGTAATTATTGGCTGCTTGCCCTACACCTGGATCTGTGGTAAACATATACTTTCTTTCATTTCAATGACAAGGACAGTTAGCTCTTCTTTTGTAGTTTCCTATGGTTTATTCCCATGTAAACTGGGACCCCCCAGACTTAAGGTCTAGTGGAAACGCTTGCTGTTCATTTGTGTGTGGATCTTCCAAGATGGCAAGAAGCTACTTTTCTAGAACTTTTGTGGTGCTGAATCTACCACTACAATCCTAAATGACCCTTACCTTTTCACTTACTATTGTCCTCCTTCTACTCAGTCTCCTTATCTTTAGATCATTTCCATGTAGATAAAGTGGCTACTGACATGATACATCTAAATTCATTTTATAATAAATAGAATGAACATACTGTACTATAAAAGCCATCTTTCCAAGACATCTGCTTCCCTTCTTCTTAACATTAAATTCAAATAATGAGAAAATATATTATCTAAACTAATTTCAAATAGTCTTTTTGTGGTCTTATTGGAATTTAAACATTTCCTGTTATGGGTGTCAAATAGAAAATCTTGTTCTCTATCCACCTACTCCATCCTTTTAACTATGAAACAAAATACATAGATGACATCTTTCTGCCAGTACCTGAATAATGCTAATATTCTGAACAGATTAGAAGAAACAGATTATGAAACAGGGAGGAAAAAGTAGCTTCACGGTACCTGATATATCTCACCATGTGCAAATATATTCTCATTCAGATTTATTTGGAAATTTAATTTGTTTTTCCACTAGTGATCAAAGAGATCATCTTGAATAACAAGTAAAAGGACTGAAAAGGGTGCTAGGTGACCTTGTAAGTGCAGAAAAAGAAGCACATGGTAACCCAGTTTCTTTTGGAAAGGCTCACAGTCATCAGATAAAAGTGGTTGATGTTAAGTCTTACCTACTACCAGATGATATTTCCTGGAGTTGAAACTACTACCATAGTAGAAAGCTCAATTTTAAGAAAATTTACAAAAACACAACCTCTGAAGTTTACCACACATGTGCCTTAATACATATAAGATGGCAAATTTTAAGAAAAGTGACCATTTAATTGTTGGTAATATCTCTTTATGATTCTCCTCTGAAGAAAAGATATGCTTATTGTTTCAAAACATTGTGTGTACAAAAAAAACTTTAAGTCATAAGTATTTAAATGATGGCAGTAGGCCTACCTTAGATTAGATTATAAAGGTCCAAATTTAATCTGGCAAATCTTTATAGCCCCAAATTCCCTCAGGGGCTTCTTTAAAACAAATTTTTTTATAGCCAATCGACTGGCCTATGTGAAGCCAAACAGATTCATAGCCCACCTCTTCATGAACATTCAGGAAGATGCTCAATCAAAGATGTTTGTTTCTGATCACCAAGTACAATCCCCCCCTTGGGGGTCTATTAGACTGCTCTGATTTTGTGATCACTGTCACTTGAAGCGCTGTCACTTTTCATAGGTATGTGTCTTCCCAGAATATGCTCACTTTATTCTGACAGTGATAGAAAGCTCACTAATGAAGTGGTTTGACCAGTTTCTTTCTAAAAGTCTGAAGAAAGGAAGAATTGCATTTAAAAGGCTGCATATTATACATAATATAGTTCACTAAATAATAAATTCAAGAATTATCATTTTTGCTTTGATAGTTCTGAAAAGAACTACTGACAAAGGGGCTGTACACATTTGCTTTGCCCTTTTGTCTTCATTTACCTGTCAGGATGAATAGAAGAGAGCACAAAGACAAGGAGAATGACATCCAGGATCCCATCTGGAAAAGGGTAGGGTGAGCAATTATCACAAATGTCATGAACAAAGGCACAACACTGGCCTGCTCTGTAGGACAAGTGCAACTGTCATAATAAAGGAATAAAGAGATAAAAAAGTAGTTAGCAGACTTCTGGTATTTTTCTTAAAATAAAAAGGTCAAATTTTTTACTTTTCCCAAGTGCCTTTCTCTGCAAATTTGAGTAGCACTTTATTTCTCATTCAGTATTCTGCTAGCTTATTTCAAACTGCCACAAAAAACTAAGTCTCCTGCTTAGACTTGGTAACAAATATTCTTCACAATCCCTCCATAATTTAGAGATCCTGCCCTATGTTATCTCAGAGGCACTGAGATGACCCTCAGCATTCTCTCCTACTGCTTGTTCATGTCTCCTTTGGCTTAAAATATAAATATACTCCATAATCAAAAGTAGATAATGTTGATGATTGCACAACTCTGTAAATATACTTTAAAAAAGTGAATTTTATGCTCTGTGAACTATATCTCAATAAAGCTATTACTTTAAAAATTGCATTAGAGCACACATGCATGCACACACACACACACACACACACAAGTTCACCTACAAAACCAATACTAGAAGGATATCTGCCAAAATAGAAACATTGATTCACCCTAGGACTCTAGGAAGTGTGATTATATAGGTGACTTTTATCTTACCCTTTAGGCTTTTCAGTATTTTAGAAATATTAGGTTCCATGTGTTTACTATACATTTTTGTTAGCAGAATTTACTTTCCTTTTCCATTTCCTAAAATTACCTCTTGCTAAGGTAATGCTCACTAGCATAGGGAGTTTGGTCAAACAAGTCAAGGTTCTCTGCTGTTTTTCTTATAGTCTAGGACATTTTAGATTTGTATCATATGCCATCTGAGTTTTAACTTAAAAACTTTTTAATTCAATGAGTGCCTGCTACATGTCAGACTGTGTGTAGGGCTCTAGGGACATAACTATGTTAAGATCACCTGTAGGAGCTGTTGGTCTTTTAGGTATCCAGTCTCTTAAACTCTATTTTAAACTCAAAACAACTTCTATTGTTTTAGGATAATATCTTTGGCATCAGTTGATGATATGATTCCCAGAAATAGTAATATTTCAGTTAAAAATGGTTACAGATAACACTTGATGCAGAACATTAAAAAAAATCAACACCAAGTAAATTAGATTCTTATAGGGCTCTCTTGAAAGAAAATATAAAGCATACCTTTACCAGCTCCACAGCTTCAGAGGCAAAATCACAGCAATAAAGAAAGGACTTTGGAGCATTCCTATGAAAATGGAGGAAATATTTAAGTCTAGAGTCCATATATGCTCAGATGACAGAAGAAAAGCAGCTATGGGTTTGAATTCGTTAATAGGCATTTTTTTAGAAGAATTTTGTATACCTGGTGTGCTGTTTCTTCTTTTCAGATACTGTTCTCCATAGCAGTGTAGGGGTGCCATTGTGTTTTTTCTAAACCAGCATTGTCTCAAACCCTTATCATTAACTTCAGGGTGACTTCCAGATGCCTGTCCTGGATGTAAGGCTTTCCATTACTTGGGCCCGCCTGCCTTACACCCCACCATGCTCTCACATAGGAAACCTCTAAGGCCATCCATCAGCGTTACTCCATCTCCCCCCATCCCCAATAGGCACTCTTTCTTCTGTGCCTTTAGCTAGTAAGGCCTGTAGCTCCTCTTAAGTTTAGCCATGTTCTACCCTTCTCTAAGGACTCTAAGACCACTGTGTCCCTTGGTCCTTCAGTACTCCTCCTGTGTGTACCATATCCCCAACGAGGCTATAAAATCCACAAGAGCAACCAGGACCATACATATAATTGTTGTTCAGTGACACATAGATTTCTTTTTGTGATTCAGACAAAGCACTAAACAACATGATACAATGATTATTTGATGCCAGCATGTGATCAGGAAATGGTACTTGGGCCACAAAATCACAGTATCTGCTTGTCTATAAACGGCCATGATCTAGCCATTGTCAACTCATTTGATTGTTGGGCCTCTCAGAGGCTCTGATGTCCTGCTAGGGTGGAAACACACACACACACACACACACATACATAATATAAACATATATATTTTTTAACAGCATGTAAATATGACTTCTAAAAAAGAACAAAACACTAATATATTAATTCTTGGTTATCTTTTTAAGTTATTGTCAAACATTTGTTTAACATCACACATGCACTAAGCATTAGAATATAAAGTAGTAAATGAAATTATCTAACAAGAATATAGATTTTGGAGCCAAATGAACCTGTGTTTAAATCTTGGATTTCCATTTATTAACTCTGTGAATTTGACTTAACTTCTAAGATTAAGTTGTTTTACTTATAAAATATAAATAAAATAATTCAGGATTTTTTTTCGGGGTGGGGGGGAAGCTGTTTACCCATATGAAAGTCTTGACTATTTTTACTTGGCCTTTACTGAACTTAAGACAAGTTCCACTTGCCCTTTATCTGAGATTCAATGACAATGGCTAGAACATGGCCATTTATAGACAAGCAGATACTGTGATTTTTGTGAGCCAAGTACCCTTTCCTGATCATATGCTGGCATCAAATAATCCTTGTATCATGTTGTTTAGTGCTTTGTCTGAATCACAGAAAGAAATCTATCTGTCACTGAAAAACAGTTATAAGTATGGTCCTGGTTGCTCTTGTGGATTTTATAGCCTAGTTGGGGATATGGTTGGCTTCAAATAGCTTCTATAGGGGTGTGGATAGGGCAGGCCCTTTGAGGTGTAAGTCTTAAGAATTTTGAAGGTGGGGTATGGCACTGTTAAGTGGGGGGAAGGAGCAATGGTACAAGGGTTTATAGGTGGGAGTCACATGCCACGGATCAGAAGCAGAGTTGATTCTAAGAGCCCAAACTGGTATGTGGAAGGATATACATACAAGGTGGGCCCTCAAATACACAATTAGAACTTCTAATTTGACTCAGGAGGCATTTCAAGCAAGGAGAACTTCTAAATAAATATGGAATACAAGCATAAATACGCATTTAACAAAATCTCACTCAGGCTCAGATTATACTATTAAATGCCTCTCACTGATGAATACTATGCTCATTCACTCTATGGCACTAGGGTTTTGTATTCAATGTAACATCTGTTCAAATAAGTTAAAGTATGATGAATATGTTTGGTTATGAAATGTTAACTGACACTATTGTTGAATCACTATGTTGTACATCTGAAATCAACATAATATTGTGTATCAACTATATGCCAATAAAAAAAACAGGAAAAAAAAAGTTTAGCAGTACTGAATCAAAGTACTGCTTGTTTTTTTCCCTCCATCCCATATCAAAACAGTTTTGAGTGTATTACAGCATATATCCCTATTATTTCTTATGAAATCCATTGTATTTGTGATTCATGATTTGTTGCGGGGGGGTCACATGTGTGTTAAATATTCTCAGTAAACACTCAGATGCATAAAGCACTATGCAATGTGGTGGCTAAAGGCAAGGGCTCTGTAACCAGACTGCCTAGGGATGGAATCCTGGCTCTATCAGTTGGTGGTGTGAGCTTGAAATAGTTACTCAATCTCTCTGCAACTCTGTTTCCTTATCTTTAAAACAGAGATAAATATGGTACCTAAAGTAGTTGTGAAGATCCAATGGAATTCATATAAGTAAAGTTTCTAGAAAGGTACTTAATTCAGAATAAGCACCTAATAAATCTTAGTGGTCACTACTTTTTGTTGCTGTCACTATTATTATTATTATCACTACAGGCAGATCTGCCTCTGCCTTCCAGGAACTTAAAGACTTAAAAACATGGTTCTACAAAAACTTGCATATACCTCAGAATGCTTCTCTGGACACTGGCACATGCGGCTTATTATGCAGTCTCCTTTGGGCAGTGTTTACTAAACACCCACAAGAAACAGAACAGGCTAGTAGCTAAAGGAAACGACGTGCCATTTGCCATGTGTCGTACTCGAACGGCAGCGTGACCTCTGAGACTGAATTCCCACTGCATTGGCAGCTCAGGTTGAGGTCTCGTGACCAACCAGTGACTTTCCAGGGCTTTTCTATAAAATCAGCTGACTGCCTTGGCTCTCGTCCTAGCAAGCGGGTGTGAATACTACTACTACCACCACACTACCAAGAACTCTGTTGGCAGGGGTGTAAGAATTAAATGATCCTTGGAGAATGCTATGACCTCTCAATTCTAGAGGTCTAATTATGGTAAACTATTCTGAAAATGTAAAATATTAATCCTATACGCTCTAAAATCAATAAAACATAATTTCATAGGTGGTAAAATAAAAGTCTAAGCTTCCCTTTTGAAGACAATCACTGGTTGCCTTCTAAAGACGAATTATCTCAGGTTATTAAGTTACAATGATTTCTAAAATATGGATATGAAGTAAAAAAGAAGACACAGCCAAGGAGAGAAGGAGGCAAGAGCTTGCAATTATTAGTTGGAGGGAGAAGTAGAAGGGAAAAATACAACTAACAAGTGGGGAATCAGAGATGTTAATCAGTCAATATGTATTTAGCTCTAAACTATCTAATATTGCACTGTTAGGCTACCTGGAAAATCAGGTTAGGGTAAAATATGCTCTCTACTGCCAGGAATATAAATGGTAGTTGGAGAGACAAGATATAAAAAAATGACATTCTAAATATACCTTGAGATGAGTCATAAAGTAACACATAATCAACTGCCAGTGTAGTAGATTTACGTGTATTATAAGCTTGGGGATCACTGGAGTGAAGGAACCTGGCTACGTGGTATAAAAGAATGGGAAATTTGGCCCAGAAATTGGAAAAGGGAAAACAAAGAAAATTTATACAAAAAAGAGAAAGTCCATTCAGAATAGATTTGTCAGCATCACTTCTATCTGGCCACTTCTACTGGGAATTTGATAATATTAGGGAATTGCTTACTGTTTATTAAGTTAGGTTTGTAATTGTAATGAAGAATGTCCTGATTTTTTGGATACACAGTAAGTATTTAAAAATAAAATGTTATGATGTTGGCAATATGTTAATAACTGTTAAATCAAGGTGGTGGGCATATGAGACTTCATTGTATTATTCTTTACTTTTCTGAATACTTTTACATTTTCACAATGAAAAGTTTAAAAAATAGCATCATTAAACTTAAAAATATGCATAGAGAAAAGACTGAAAGGAATTATAACAAAAATTTTGTCAATAGTTGTGTTAGGATGATGGATGACCCCCACCCGCCAACCCCCTGTTTTCTACTCTAATGGAAATATTCTGCAATGTGCTTATTGTAGATTTTATAGTGGAAAAATAATGTGAATGCTATTGTGTAAATACGAAAAAAAAACCAAAACAGGCCAGTCAGCCATAGGCAAAAGGTGTTAGAAAAGTTTTGTGAATTCTGTCCTCTTCATCATAAATTGCTGAAGTATATAGGTGAGGCGGTGAATGGAAAGGGAGGATCAGCAATCTCTGTGCCTATCATCTGCTTCTGCTGTTTTGAGTCTTAGGACGAGTTGCTGTTACCTCTGAGCACTTTCAATTCTTAGAGGCAATCATTTGACACACAAAGGTTTTATACTGGTGTGCCTCCAGAAGTGATGACAAAATAACGTAAGGGTTAAAGTATAGTGGGCCTTAAACTCAATTCTCTTTGTGTAAAATGACAGCTATATATCCTGGAGGAGCACGTAAATCTCCAATGATCTAGAAATGCACAGCTTCATGGAAGAACCAAACCTCTTGCTCTTCTTATTCTCTCACCCACACAAACCCAAGCTTAAAAAATCACCACAACCCTGGTGGAAAACCCATGGCTGTGAAACATTGTTTTCAGAGAAATTTCCAATTCATCTGAAATTAGACACTAAGACCAAACCACTTTTTAAAAAATTTGCTATAGTCATTGTTTATATGAGAACAACACTACTGGCATATACATGACATTTTTCCAGACTTTCTCATTATCACATACATACGTAAAATTCTGTAGAAAACTATGAAACTCACTGCAAAGTGTTCAGAATAGGAAAAACACTATTTCCAACACCACAGCCAACCTTTAATCAAAAGAATAAACAAATATCATGAAAACAAGGTTAAGTTTTCCTCACCAATATCAGATCATTTTATTTAAAAAAATATAGAGGAAATGTACTAGATCTCTGGGGTTAGGAGAGTTTTCTAAACATGAAAGCAATGGAACAAATCACAAGAATAATGTTGGGAAATTTAACTATGGAAACATTCACAATTTTTACACATCAAAACTCAAAATAAATTAAAAGGTGACCGACACACTGGAAAAAACTAGCAATAAATATAAGAGGCAGAGTTCATTTAAAAAATATAAATAAGCAAAGGAAAAATATGGAACACAAAAGAAGTATAAATAGTTTCTAAAAATTTGAAGAACTATGTGAACTTTTTAACAATCACAGAAATGCAAATTAAAACAAGGTATAATTTTTTCTAAACAAAAAGCACTAAAACAAGAGTATTCTAACCAATGACAATGTGATGAAACAGACATACACTGTCGTGCATTGGTATTAATACAACTTCTTAGAAAGTGATTTGGCAAAATATCTTAAGAGTATTAAAATTTCTTATAAGTTATGTACTAGCAAACATAAAAGAAAATGTGGAAAAGTCTATATCCAAAGATGTTTGTTGTAGAAAATCTGAAAACAATTTAAATGCCCAGTAGTATGAAAATAGTTAAATAGAACTGAAATACTCCACACAGTAAGTATTTTCAGCCATGAAAATGTCTGTAGAGAATTTTTGAAGATAGGGAAAACTGCTTCTGGTAAAATGTTAAATAGAAATGAAACAAAACCCCAAAATACAGTCATAACTTTATATAAAACAGTATAAACAAATGGAGAAAAAAGTAGAAGTTTAACAGTGGTTATATCCTTTGTGGGATATTAGTTACTTTATTTCTTTTATCTCCTCTTTAGCAAATTTTCTGTAATCAATACATACCACTCTAAATAGAAAGAAAATATTTTTAAAAATCAGTTGTACCAGATTATAGCAAATTATAAATCTCACTTATTTCTATTTCACCAAAAAAGGGACAATAACAGAAAGAGATAGAAATTAAGGCCTGAACTTACTGGCATTTAAAACTGCCTTCAAGTTAGAAATTAAAAAAAAATTAAAATAAAATAAAAAACCTGACTGATTAAATATATGAGTCCTTTAAATATATTTTATGCACAAAGGTATTCTGAACACTTACTTAGTTAGATTTGATCATTTTCTCCCTAAAAAAAACTCCAGCATTAATAAATATGGAATATACATTTTAAACTCATATGCCACCTCCCATCTTTGCCCCTACAGTGCAGTACCTCTAGGATTCTGAAAGTGGCACTGCTACCAGGAAACAGTTCAGTCTTCACAGGTCCTTTTCTGTGTTGTTTAGCATCTAGGTTGGAAAAATCAGATCCCGCTTTGCTTTGACCATCTGCTGAACCAGCACTTTTCTTATAATGATTTTTTTGTTCAGGGTTAGTAAGGCAGTGCATTCTTGAGAAACAATTCGCAGCATTATCTTTTACATGATCCAATGAAAATTCTTTCATCTTCTCTTTAGTTTTTTGATCAACTGGAAGAATTTCAGGAAATTCCCTTAACAGCCAATTACGATCCTTGAAAAACTTATTCTTATGAATCTTGTAAAATGTGTCCCAATATTTACTAGCTTCACTCTCATATTTAACTAAAATAAAGAGAAAAAAAGATTTTTCTATGTATTAATGTTTGCTATTAGTTACTATTTAAATAACTACACTTAAAAATTAAATACTGTTGTTACATACATTATCATTTACAACAATTACATTTACTATTGAATAACTTGAATATTAATAATAATATTTATCTGATTTTTTTACCTCATAAAAATTAAAAGTTCAGAGTATTAATTCCTTCAAAATGTGTCAATGTGTGGGGTGTTTAGTCCTTCTCCCATAAATCTACTTTTGTCTTAAGTTTGGCCAATAAATTATTGTGAGGAATATAGTCATTGCAAATTACTTTGTATAGTCTAACCTTGGAATCTTAATAATCACATTTTTACCAATAACCTGTAGGGCTCTTTATTATTTTGGAGAAAGGACATTTTATTTTTATGTCTGTATATGCAGTTTCAACATGACAAATGTCTGTGAAATTGGTAATCAGACAAAACTGTAGAATTATAGATGACATTATTTTAGAGCCAGAGTGGTCCGTTGAAATAATTTGCTCCAACTCTCTTGGTTTTACATTTGAAGAAAGGGCAGCACAGAAAGATGAACCCACTTGCTCCAGGTCCTGGGGCCCAGTCACAACAGTCATCAGACCTGATTCCTGGAGTCTAGGGCCCACCCATAACTTCATTCTTCCCCCACCTCCAGAGGCATGTCTTTTCATTAACATCTCCTAATATGAAGCCTTTAAAGAAAATTTCTGATGCCCTTTTAAAAGATATGTGCATTTTGTGATGTTATCCCTTAGACTTTACTTGGCCCCGGGATCAGGATTAGTCAACAGTCTCAGAACTTCAGACAACTCTTAGCTTTCTTCCTCCAGAAAAGCTTCCTTCTATCTGTACCTTAAATTAATTAAAAAAATTAATCTACCTACTCCATCACTCATTCACTCAAAAAACATTTCTTGAGTACTATTATGTACCAGGCCTAATTCCTAGGTTAAGAATTACTTTCACCCAGTATAGACACATGACATTTTGAAAGTGCTTTCAAAGGATTAAAAAAACCTTCTATTATTACAGAATAATTTCCAAGACTTAATGTTTGGTGAAAAAGCCAGGTGTATAACAATATGTATATGAGGCAACCATGTTAGATAAAAAAGAAGATAAAGAATACATGTGTGTGCATGCATAGAAACATAATGTATGTACATACACATATTTACTTGTATATGTACAAAGTATTTCTGGAAGGGTAATCACAGAATTAGTAATACTGATTACTTCTAAAGAGGGGAATTGAGTAGCTGGGGACTAGGGTTTGAGGAAGAATTTTCATTTGGATTTTGATTTGTGTGAAATTACTATCTACTCCAAAAACAAGTTAAATTAAAAATAAAGTAATGGACTTATTTTTTTCATAATTTTAAAGAAGCTCCTACTCTCAGAACAAGAAGTTGCTAAAGTCAAGTTTATCTTTGTTACAGGGCCTGTCCTGAAGCCTGTACAGTTTTCCTTTTCTCTCCATTTTTATCTTTATGGCCTTGTACCACGCATCTCCACCCATCTGGCCACAAGACTTCCTTTCCATCAAGGCTAAATTGTATCTGGCAGCAGGACTGCTTATAAAGTCAGGAACTCCCATCTGTATTTAAGGTCTGAGAAATGAAAGTAGATCTCTGTAACAAGAGTTATGTGATGTTGCAGTCCAAAATATGCTCACATTTGCACTACTGGAAGGAAGCCTATTTATGGTTAATCTAAAAACGTTATGTATCTATCTTTAAAATACTTCTATCACTACTTTTAAAAATTGGAGTGTACCTGATATACTATATGAGAAAACAAAACAACATTCTGAAAATCAGACTCAAGAGAAAATAAGCAACTATCAAATTTCTCCAGGGTCTTCTCATACCTTCTTTTCTTCTTTTTACCTTAAAAACTTTCTTTCTAACTCGTTTCATGCTGATAAAAGATTTTTCTGCTAAATAAAAAGCAACTACCTAAGAGGAACTACATTTAGTCAGATCTCTAGTATCTAAGTTTCCAATATCAAGCTATGTGTCAAGTGAGTCTGAGCCTATCAGTAATTACAATCTAATACTGTATGTTGATTAATTTGTGGGAATATTCTCCTAGGAATTAATTAGGGGTGGGGTAGGTAAGACAGCAGGGGAGTAACCTGAAAGAAAAGATTCATAACAGTGCTATTTATAGATGGAAAAAAGTGGAAAGTAAGTCAAATGCCCAACAACATAGGAATGACCAAGCAAGCCATGCAGGTAAAAAAAAATGACCTTATGTAGCAATTAAAATCTAAAGGATAATAATATTAAGAGAAAACACTCACACACAATGTTCTATATACTGATTGGGCCCTTAAAATTTATTTCGTATTCATTCATAACAATCAGATGAAACTTTGGAGTGATGGTAACAATTAAATGATTACTAGGTACTTCTTTCTTTTGCAAAGTTTTATCCACATCTTACATGAAGAAAAAGAATCCTAGTTGAATTCAACTTGCCTACAGTTTCCTCATTTGATGAGGGGTTGACTTAGACTATCTCTGTGTTCAAGTTCTAGGAAGTCTTTGTACTTTCCTATTAAACCCATGAGTTTATGTAGAACATTTGACATTATCACTTCTTATAAACTATAAAACCTTAGATTGCAGTAATAAATATAAGTTTGTACTACTAGTTTAATTTGTACAGTATATAAAGAAAATGAATCTACAGTGAAGTGATTGGAATCTGGTTCATATACCAAATATATCAAACATCTAGATTCAATGCTAGCCTATGTAATCTTTAAAAAGGATCTGATTATGATAAGAAGATGATAGTCAAGTTCTGCTAATATATATACTTCTGAGCCTTTTACTGGTATTTATCATTCAGGAATTAGGAGAAAAAAAAAGTCCAAACAGTTGCATAAATCACTATACCATATCAACAACATTAAAACTAACAACAATAACACAAATAGTTTCTTAACAGCCAGGCACTATGTCAAAACCATTACTTGGATTTTTTTCTCATTTTATGCTAATAATACCTCTCAGATAGACAAATTATTATTCCAACTTACAAAGAAATTCAAGGTCAGAGGGGATAAAAAAGTTTCCCCATGGTCACGCAGCTAGAGACAGGACCTCAATCAAATCTACTGGATGTTAAAGCTCATGCTCTTAGCCATTAAGCTACATTGCCTTCCTAACATAAAATCGGTATTAACCTGCTCCAAAATATCTCTGAAAATAATCTTGTGTTTTTCTGATTCTGTACTTCCTTTTCACTATGAAGCATTAAGTTGAAAGTAAAACCTCAGCATAACTAAATTGTAAAATAATGCTGATTGGTGTAAAAATGTAATAAAAACACATCTGAAACAGAAATTAATTAAATCCCATTTGAATTATTTAAATATAAACTATGCAAGGTTATACGATGAAATTATGATGGACAATGGGAACATAAAATGCTCTATGAGAACAGATGAGTTTGTGGGATAGGAACAAAACAGAAGCAGCATCCAGGATGGGCTGGGGTAAAGGCTAATGGGCTGGACCTCTTTTTTTGCTATTTAAGTTGTTTTTGGCATTATCTCCAATCAATGCTGGCAACTCCATAGTTCTCAGTAATGTGTGACAGCTTCTGAGACCCCATGGAAGCTCAAATCAAACTCACAATTATGGTTATGAGACAATGTAAAACACCTTCAACATCTGATTTAATTTCCTGTACTGCAAGAGTATCTGTGTTAACAGGGGAACTGGAAGAGCTACTTTTCCTGACCATGAGTGAAAAATTTAGTTTCAACCTGCCATTAACTCATCTCAAGTTCAGGCCAATAAAGAAAGAAGAATATAGTATGGAGGAATCTGCCCTGTCTTCATCTTGTCCAACTGACCTTCTAAACAGGTATATTAAGGATCAATTTTTCTTGGAGGAGCATTTTTTTCCTTTCACTTTCCTAGGTTGCCAATTCAGAGTCAATTAACCTATGCTCATGGCAGTAAAAAGGATGTAGTGACCTGTTTAACCACAGCCAAATGAAACAACAACTCAATTGTTCATTTATTAAATTCAATACTGCTGAGGGGAAGAAGGAATGCGACACACTGACCATGCTTAGATATTCAGAATTTACCCTGAATCACAGTGAATATCACAGCTCAGAGGTTGAACTAAACTATTTATGTATATGACATACATGATGTCATTAACATGAATAATGAAAATGTATTCTAAGTTGCAATGTGATAAAAAGCAATTTAAAGTTATTTTTGCACATCAATTACAAAAATACCTGAGGTCTCAAAGCTGGAAACTGCCACATATCACTGATAAAGTTCATTGTCTAATAAAAGAAAACTCTTAGTTATGACATAAGAAGGGTTATTTTCTTAGAGCACTGCATGAAATTTTAAATGACCAAAGCTGAATTATAAACAAGTACCCTTACATTTACCAGCATACAAAACTTTTAGCTGTTCTATTTTTTTCACATCGGATACTTCCAAGTGATAAGGTATTCATAAGGTAAGGTATAGTGAGATTCTTTTACTATTTTGCTTGATACAGATTACTCACCCTAGGCAGTAGCTATTTACAAGGATATTTTAAAGTAAAAATAGCAGCTGCTTTTGTTACTATGTTTTAAAAACCCATTACATTTGCTAAATAACCAACTGAAATGTAACACAATGGAGATGTTTTAGGAAATGATAAGATATATTCATGTTAACTCAAAAACTGCCAAATGTATCTTTCCTATTTCCTTGAACTAAGCTGCTTTTAAAAGAAACATGAGCATAATAAAATTTAAAAGAAAATATAAAAGGAAATGTAGAATTAAAAGTTATAAATCAGGGCATCTGATTGAAAGAAATATTGCTGAAACCCTGGATGCTACACATTTTAATCACAGAAATGAAATGTCAACTATCCTGCAGCCCAAAACTGTATAATGTGATGGCCAAGTTCTTATTTTCAGAATTGTGAGAGTGTTTCCTGACTTCAGTTCTCACCAATAGGTGAGACAATAGGTGAAAAACGGGAAGTGGGAGTGACACGAGACACGCCCCCACAAAAGAAATGTGCTGTAGAGTTGGGAAGCATGGGAGAACAGCCAGTATTTCCTTCCAGTGGCATTAAACATAAGTGAGATGAGATCAATAAACCAGTGCTCATGCTGTATCCTGTAAATGAAGTACTTTGTGATGGGAGAAAACTGGCTTTTAAAGACTTAGGACTCTCTTAGATAAGAAGAGATGATGGTTAACAGAGAAGCTGGGGGTAGAAGTGGGTCAGAGTTTCCTCTGGGTTTTCACAGAGTTTGGGAATAGAGCTTTTAAACAGATCTATTCACTTTGGCCCATATTCATCAGAGGTATTAAACATCAAATGAGAAGTCTCCACCTAGGGCTTCCGCAGACTGGTAGGTCTATGATCCCTGGCAGAGACTGGACTGGGAAGCTGGGTAGGTATTTACTCAGAACACTGTTTCCTCAGAACAGAAGTTTTCTTTCTTCGCCACCCTCACAACAGCCTCAGTGGCTGCTCTGTGATCTTGCTTAGGCATGACGGATGGCCACCCTCGTGGTGTGCTCCTCTCCTTGCAGGTTCCCTGACATGTATGAAGTGTGACCCCATTGCACTGAGTGCTGTTATGGGGTGGTGGGGGCAGAGAGTTGGCAGGGACAGGCCCAGCAGAAACCTCTATCACTTTGAGTCATTTTAAAACGGAATCTTTTGTTCTTCTCCACAGCAGGTAGAAAACTTGGCTCAGAGACTGGACATGCTCATAAGCAAACCAAATGCTTTAAAGCAGTATCATTTGGTCCTCTCCAGCCTAGTTTTCCTGCTTCTATAGAGAGAGGCCAGTCACCACCTTTCTATTTCAGTCACACTATGGTTCTGTGGGAGCAGTCATTTTCCTTTACTGCGGTTTCCAAGGCCCCAAAATAACCTTCTCATTAGCTTCACTCAAGTTCATCGTTAACATAAATAGTCCAAAACAGGCAGCCACATACAGAGCATTTTCAAGGGAACATTATCAGCACTGCTCATCAATTTATGTTCTAGACAGAAATATCTGAAAGAGTATGAAAAAAATCCTTGTTTTTTCATATTATCAGGAAATACATTGTGGGTAATTTTTAACTTCCTGGAAATGAATTAAGATGACTGATAAGTTTTAATTCTGTTTAGGCTTGACTCTATCAGATCCAGGTGACTACTAGCAGAAGCTTGAGTAATGTGGAAAATATGTCTATGTAGCAGCTGGCAAAGAAGCAAAATTATACTTCCTCAGGAACAGTGTGACAGAGTTCCTGCAAAGGAATGCAATGCTGCCTGATTTGTAAGCAGAACTGCCACTGGTATGCACCATAAAATCCAATTCCAACACTCTCTAGCCATGTCCCATTCTGGGACTACATGGCTGCAGCTAATAAAAATAGAATGGTTCCATTGTGGACCAGGGGCTCTTCACAACTGTCAACTGTCCAGGACACATTCACACTTAGGGTAAGGAAGGAGAACTAGCCCTAAGGAATAGCCAACAATGCCAGAAGATAAAGCAGGTTATCGATGATGCCAGAGGATTACACAGGGTGACACTGCTCCCTTCACTAGTTAAGGGCAACTAATGAGGGCATCTTTAGCCTTAATTACAGACTAAAGTCACTGGAACAATAGTTAATTACCAGTGAGATTAGTGGTTTTCACTATGCTTAGCTTGCACAGAGGAATGCAAACATCTTTCCCTGCGGAGTTTCAGGACCGCTGATCGATCTGGAAATTTTTCTGTAAAGGGCCAGATAGTAAGTAGACTTTGTGGGCTATATACGGTCTCTGCTGTAACTGTTCAAGTCTGCAGATATAGCTCAAACCAGCCACAGACAATATGTAAACAAATGAGTATGTCTGTGTTCCAATAAAACTTTACTTATAAAAACAGGCAGTGAGCTGGGTTTGGCCCACAGCCACAGTGTGCCGACACCTGCTTTCTCTGATGGGCCGGTCCACTGATACTGCTACAGGAGTGAGTAAGGAATGGCAACAACCAGCGACAAGCTGTTCAGGCAAAACTAATCTGTGGGATCAGAAGCCAGAACAGTGGCTGCTCTATGAAAGGTCAGAGCATGAGGAAGGTTCTGGGTTACTAGTAATATTCTGTTTATTGATGTGAGTGTTGGGAAAATTCATTGAACTTTGTGAGAATTCATTTATGATGTGTAACTTTGTGTGTATTTGGTACTTCAATAAACTTTTTTTGTTAAAGAACCAACCTGTTTTAAAAGAGAAACCATTTTAAGAAAAATAAGGTAGAAAATCTTATCTAGAGAGCACAGGGTTTGGGCTAAGTGTCTGAGGGTTCCCAGCCAAATCTTTGAGGACATAGGCCATTTTTTTTTAGTGTGTTTTTTAAAAAAACTATGGTAAAAAAACATGTAATATAAAATTTGCATCTTAGCCATTTTTAAGTGGACAGTCCAGTAAGTATATTCACATTGTTGTGAAACAGAATCTTGCAAGTCTGAAACTCTATACCCATTAAACAACTGTTTCTTCCTCCCTCCAGTCCCTTCTAACCACTATTCTACTTTCTGTTTCTATGAACTTGATTATTTTAGATCCTTCAGGTAAGTATTTGCCTTTTTATGACAAAATAATTGAAAGCAGGATCTTGAAGAGATATTGGCATGCCCATGTTCACAGCAACATTATTCACAATAGACAAAAAAGTAGAAGCAAACCATATGTCCATCAGAAGATAAATGGACAAATAAAACATGCTATATACATACAGTGGAATATTATTCAGCCTTAAAATGGAAGGAAGCCCTGTCATATGCTATATAACCTAATGTATTCAATAATATATATCCTAAAGATCTTATGGTAGTTCCATTTTTAATTTTTTGAGAAACTTTCATGTTTTCCATACAGGCTGCACCATCTTATAGTTCCATCAACAAGGTTTCATTTCTTCACATCCTCGTCAATACTTATTTTCTGTTTTTGTGATAGTATCATAGGTCAATTTTTTAGAAGCCATTTTTGAAGGTTGACAAGGCCTTGACTAAACTCTAAATATCAAAGATTTCCAAGAAAAGTACCTTAAATTCTTATTGCAACTTTATGTTTATCCTAAAAAACCAAAAACATTTTGATATGACTTTACATTTTTTTTCAGTTAAATTTTGTTACTGATTCAATAGGCAATGCATTCAACATAGCTCGATATCTAAAAGGTACGAGGGAGTATCCAGTAAGAAGTGTCCCTCCCATCTTCTGCTCTCTAGCCACCAGCTCCCCTCCCTTTAAAGTCACCAATATTAAAAATTCTTGTTTACCCATCCAGCGGCATTCTATGCTGTTAAAAGAGAATTTTCTTTTTTCACATTTTTATGTTATACACACTGTTCTACAACCTCCTATCACCTATATATAGTGAAGACTGAACCATATTTGGTACATAAGGAGTTTCTGTTTTCTTTTTACACTGCATGATATTCCAGTGGATGGCCATATCACCATTTATATAACCATTTCCCTTTTTGATGGACATATTCATTACTTTCAATTTTTTTTATCTTCTCTGGGACATAACTTTACTTTCTTGGCTCAAAGTTTTTGAATTCGTAGAATGTTCCTAGCAAGTGGAATAAATGCACAACAGCAAACTGAAAGACATACAGCAAGAGGAAAATTTAAACATTATATTTTCATATCTTGTTCAAAATGCCACCCTTGTACATTGCCCAGAAAAAGCAATGACTACCAAAAGAGCAAGTATAGGATAAATATATAATTACTTTCATTAACTTTTGTCCCACTACTCTGGAATAATGGGGAAGCCTCCCAAATGGAACAAGTGGATTGGCACATGTAAAAGCTAAGTAATCCCACAATTAGGAAGAAAAGAGACTAAGGTGTAAACGGAACCAGTGGGAGGTGAGAAGAAAAGCCAGGCTCCAGGAACCGCGAGGTGTGGCTGCCCACCTTGCTCTTCCAGGAGGACTCGCTCAGCTGAATTTTCCTCTACTTTTTTCCTGGCTGCTGCTGCTTCCTCTTTTGACCACTGCATGTGGTCCCTATCAAAAAATGAAAAGATTGTAAAACCTGATTGTAACATTGAAGAGGGCAGAAAAAGGGTGATAAGGGAAATATATCTTTCATTCTAGGTTAGTCAAAGACACAATGGTACACACTAATTCCATGTCAAATGAATATATTTTGAAGCAGACGTTCCATCTGATAGTGCTGGTAACAACCCTGGAACTCCTATGGTTCTGCCATTTAAATGTGACTGTGTTGCAAGGCCCAGCCATCTTGGAAATGACTGCTGCATTAATACCCCAGGAGCACCCTGGTGCATGATTATTGTGGTTCGTTGTATTTTATCTTAAGGTTAAGTCTATCTGCCCTTTGTTAAGTTATGAACAGGGCGTTCTTTAACAGTTTTTAATACTCCTTTTATGATACTTGTATTCTAATACTTTGCCGTCAAAAGTATTTTACAACATTTGTACTTACCCTCAGTTTTTTAAGTTAGATTTTTCTTAGTAGGTGCCTTAACTTCTGTAAATGGATTAATTTACATTTAAATGATAAACTACTTGATATAGTATATAAGAATATCTGGCATTTTACCTATGAGTATTTTGATTTACTTTCCCTATAGGAGATATATTTTTTCTGCCACCAAAATGACTTTCTTGGAATTGAAGCAACACCTTGATACAAAAAAAGTGATTTACACACAAAAAAACCTTTACAGAGTTTTCATTACTTTTTTTGCAGTAAGATGTAATTACCTGAAATAAAGCATTTTTTCTAAACAATAAAGAAATCACATACCCCAAAATCCAAGTTCCATGGATCCTATTTATAACTGTAAGAAAAATCCCTAACACTATTATCATATATTTGTAGCTACTGCAGTGATGAAAGAGGGGTAAAATACCAAGTTCTTGAGATGCATCACAATGGTGATTGATGAACATTAATTGAGTACTAACATAATCACAATTATTGTAATAATTACTATCATTTATTATATGCTAGGCATTTTGTAATAAGCACATTACATACATATATGTCTTATTTAATACTTTCAAAAACCGTATGAGAGGGTTGTAACTATGCTCATTTACATAAAAAGAACAGAAATTTAACTTACTCAAGGTCATATAGCTAGTAAGAGACAGCACCAGAATTCACACCCAGGTCTGTCTCACTTCCAAGTCCATCTCTTGACCATTAGTCTACCATATCTACAGTACAGACCCCCAGGGCCCAAGTGTGTTGTTCACCATGGGGATGAGAAATCTGTTGTTCCATACAGCTCCCCAACCCCTCTTTGGGTCCCTAGTGACTATTCTTGCCTCCCACATAGGGCAACCAATAAGTGAGGTTACTCATACTATAGCAGATCTGGAGGAGGTTGAAATAATAAGAGCATGGAAGGAAATACAGTCTGCAACTGAAAAAAGTAGTTCAAAGGACCCTGAAAAGGTCTCAAGGATCCAAATGTGGGTTGATATGATAAAGGTGGGGACAGTGAAAGAAAAAATTGATGGACAGCCCAATAGAATCTTGCTAGAGCTGTGGCATCAATTAAGCTGGAGGAGAGGTTCCAAGATACAAAAGCTGGAGGCAAAGCCCCCTGCTCGGCCTGTGTGCCTATAGGACTTCCTGGAGCAGTGTACCCAGACCCAACCTGGGCCCCTGCTCCCATAGGAGGATGATTAGGCATCATGGTTTCACTGAGGGGGGGATCAAGGCCCCCACCTTGGGGGATGTGGTGGGGACTGGAGACCACATGTAGCGTTAGCAATTCATTGGTCCCCTGTGAATATACAATGTGTTCTGGCACTGGTGGACACAGCAGCTGAGAGTTCTCTGATTTCTGGCAACCCTGAGTATTTTCCTGGGACCCCTGCTGTGATAGATGGCTATGGGGGGTAAGGCGATTAGAGTAAAGAAAGCCCAAATTACACTGGGGATAGGGCATTTACACCCAAAGGAGTATACTGTGTACATATCTCCCACTCCTGAATATATTTTGGGGGTGGATATCCTGCAGGGCCTGTGGTTACAGACCACTGCAGGTGAGTTCAGACTGAGGGTTCATGTGGTAAAGACAGTTCTGAGGGAACATGCTCAGCACCCACCTGTAGCTCTGCCTGTACCTCATAGCATGACAAAAACTAAGCAATATAAATTGCCTGGGGAGCAAAAAGAAGTTGGAGAAACTTTACAGGAGCTGGAGAAGGTGGGCATCATAAAGCCCACTCATAGTCCTTTTAATTCCCTGGCATGGTCAGTGAAAAAGCCAGATGGCTCCTGGTGTATGACTGAGGATTACAGAGAATTGAGTAAAGTCACATACCCTCTCCATGCTGCTGTCTCCTCCTTAGCATCCCTCAGTCACGAACTAGGGACATATCATTACAGTGGACCCTGCTAATGCTTTCTTCTCTGTTGACATAGCACAGGAAAGTCAGGAACAATCTGCCTTCACATGGGAAGGCCGGCAGTGGACATTCACTGTCCTTCCACAGGGATACCTCTACATCCCCACCACCTGTCATGGACTTGTAGCCCAGAACTTGGCAGCACTGGAAAAACCGCCAGTGGTGTGGCTGTATCATTATATTGATGATATCATGCTCACATCTGATTCTCTTGCCTATCTAGAAGGTGTAGCACCTAGGCTGCTGCAACATCTACAGAAGAGAGGATGGCCTGTGAGGAGCACCAAAGTTCAGGGACCTGGTTGGTCAGTAAAGTTCTTGGAGGTTGTCTGATTGGGTAAGATTAAAATTATCCCAGAAGGAGTCACAGATAAAGTCCAGGCTTTCCCTAACCCTACCACAGTGGCAGTATTGCAAGAGCTTTTAGATCTTTTGGGCTACTGGAGAGTGTTTATCCTGCACTTGGCACAAATTCTGGGACCCTTATACCAGTTGGTATGAAAGGGCATCAGGTGGGACTGGGATGAAATATGTATCTGCCTTTACTGCTGCTAAGCAAGCAGTCAAGGCCATGCAGGCCTTGAGTTTAAGTAACTCATCAAGGCCCTGTGAGCTGGATGTTCATGTAGAAGATGGGTATGGATGGGGCCTCTGGTAGAGGCTTGAACAGACCTGCCAACCTACTGGATTCTGGTCACAACTATGGAAAGGAGCAGAGGTCCAGTACACCTTAACAGAAAAGCAACTGGCTGCTGTGTACCATGCCTTGCTGGCTACAGAGCTTATCACCAGAACAGCTCTGACCAAGGTAAGAACTACCTATCCCATCACAGTGTGGGTGTGAGACTGGACCCAAAGGCCACGGAGTGGTGTGGCACAGATGCTTACACTGGCCAATGGGGTGCATATTTATGGCAACATAGCACTCTCCCCAGTACCCCTTAAGTAGAGAACTCCAATGCTTACTGGGGTTAGTGACATACACAACTGGAAAGCAGGAAGAACTTGCTTTGGAGCCATTAGTAACAGGGAGCCCTTATTGGCAGGGAAGAGCCCTGTACCTGAAGATGCTTGGTGAACAGAAGGCTCCAGTCATGGATAGCCCCTCAAGTGGAGGGCTATAGCTTTTCATCCTAAGACTGTGACAATATGGATGGAAGATGGGGAGGGGAACAGCAGTCAATGGGCAGAGTTGCAGGCAGTACGGCTCGTGATCACCCAGGAGCCCTCCCCAGTAGCTGTCTGCATGGACAGCTGGGCCGTCTATCAGGACTTGACGCTGTGGCTACCAACATGGTACCATGCAAGTCACATACCCTCTCCATGCTGCTGTCTCCTCTTTAGCATCCCTCAGTCATGAACTAGGGACATATCATTACAGTGGACCCTGCTAATGCTTTCTTCTCTGTTGACATAGCACAGGAAAGTCAGGAACAATCTGCTTTCACATGGGAAGGCCGGCAGTGGACATTTACTGTCCTTCCACAGGGATACCTCCACATCCCCACCATCTGTCATGGACTTGTAGCTCAGAACTCGGCAGCATTGGAAAAACCACCAAAAACAGAAAAGCAACTGGCTGCTGTGTACCATGCCTTTGGTTACCAGCCCCTTTGGGAGCAAGAGTTGTGGCAAGACTTATGGGCTTCTGGTCAGACTAAGAAAGACAGTTACTGTATATCGTGTGACTGGCCATTTGCCTTTGCATCCCCAGTGAATGATGAAGCTGACATATTAGCCCAGGTACGCTGGCTAGAAGGAAAGCCTGCCTCTGATATGGCCCAATGGTTACATCAGCGTTTGTTGATTGAAGGACAAAAGACAATGTGGGCTGTAGCCCGTCGGTGGGGCTTGCCGTTAACCTTTGAAGAAGGCTGCAGAGCCCAGAAGGAGTGCCTTGTGTGCTCTAAGAGGGACTTACACTGAGTCCTGCAGCAACATGGGACAATGCTAATGGAGCTGATACTCCTGGTCAGGTGGCAGATAGACTATATTGGGTCCCTGCCCATATCAGAAGGATATTGGTATGCCATGACTTCCCATGAAATGGGCAAGATATGGACTTAATCTGAGTAGGACATTGAACCCAGTTGGATCCTCAGGCTTGAGGACTGTCATGATTTTATTGCTATCTGTATCACAATTTCTGCTGTTATTGTATGTTATTAGTCTGGTTGCAGTACTGCAGCTTTCTTGCACAGGGGCCATTGCAGAAGATTGGGGGTGCATAGCTTGTGAGGTGAGAATTCTGGAGGGAAGGGCTGTGGGGTAAATGGCAGAATTTCCAAAATCTCCCACCTAGCCTTAGTCCATTTACATACCAATGGATGTTTCAGAGCTTCTGGTGGATCTGGGGCAAGGGGTGGAGAGAAAACAGCCATTCTCTCCTCCCCTCCGTTCCTCGTATGTAGTTGGCCTTGCATGTGCCAGTCACCAAGGACCCAGAGGGGAGAAAAGGGAATCAAGCTGTAGCTGGAGGTGATGGATGTTTGGGAGCCTGGCTAGCGACTGTAAGAAATAAAAACCTTTTCTGCTAAGCTGCCCTTTCCCTTGACTTACTTCAGTTTTATTGGGTTCATAACAGTTTTGCCCCAGGCAGGGAACACCCTTCTCCC